ATTATTAGCAAAACTAGGCCAACAAGCAGGTTCGCTAAAAAAAAATATAAAAAAAAATCTACAACGCAAATTGCATTTCCTTTATTTCGTTTATATTAAAATAAAGGCGTGTCTAAAATATTTCAAACTGTCGACCGCCTAACCAAATTCGACTGTGCGTGACCTTCGAAGCGAAGGTCTTCACTTTTATATGACATTTATGTCCATATATCTTGTGTTTACTTTAAAAAAATATTTTTATACTTTAACAACACTAAAATATAATGTACTCTAAACAGTTTGTTTAGCTCGTATCAGTTAATCAACGCACACGTAGATATATGTATGTGTATATAATATTGTGTCTATAAGATATATCTCTTTAAATATGTATATAATATTGTGTCTATAAGATATATCTCTTTAAATTAATTTAGATTTAATGATTTAAATTATCTTTTTTTTATAAATAGCGCATTGCAGAATAATTTTATACAATAAAATTACTATAAAAAAATAGAAGCTTACAATTTTTTAGTACAATAATTTTTCTCAAATTTTCTTCATATATTTTATGGCAATGTAATCTCGCATTAAGTTTCTTAGTTTAGAATTAATTATTATTTAATATTTTATCGTAATTCTGACAAAATCGTGAAATATAAGAAATAGTATTGAATAACCGGGAGGAAATCAAACCGCGCCTATATGCCGATTAGCGTTCTGAAAACCGCTCGTGAGGTCGGGCACTATACGCGGGACGAGTCCCGAGGTGGCGCGGGAGAGGGAACGCCGATTCGTGCGCGCATTGAAATTCCCTCCGATCTCACCGAGACCGAGTAGCCGATTTTTATCGAGTACACGGCTGGTTACCGGACAGAAGTCATAAACCGCATTCGATATCGAAGAACGGTCAAACACGCGCGGAATAAAAAGTACTCGATCGGACGCGTACATTTGCGATATTTCGACCGGACGAAGAGAGAAACCATTTCAACGTATCCGAGTGGGTTCTCTCAATGAGCATAATGAAGAGGAAAAAAAACCCGTCGATAAACCGCCGAGAAGAATGGACAAGTGTTTCGCGTAATAATATTTCACGGCAGCTGCCGTGAACTGTGGAGGCAGAAATTTCTGTCGCGTCTGTATGATACCGCGACAGCCGATAGAGCACGGCTCTCGTACGTGATGATCAAAATTCTTGCGTGTCTGGAGCAGTGTCACACCTCGTTGTGCGGATAACAGAAAGCCGATAATTTATCATCCATATTTCACGACTGAATGTCCAACTCGATTTATCGATCGGAAGTATACAACACCAAATGCATTCTACGTGCGAAAATACCAAATTTCCAAATGGTATTTTCGCACGTTCCTATTTTATCTCTGCGGAGCGCGGGTCAACGTCCCAGGTGCTATACCATCGATTTGCCAAAGTATCGCTAAATTCAGCAAAACCATCCCGATTTCTACCGGTATTGTCCTACGTGACCGAAGAATTGATGCGTTCGATTGAATCCGCGAGCTCATTTCACGCGCTGTAGGAGCGAGCCTATGTACTCGGTATTTTTATACACGTTGTTTGTAACGCGCGCTGTTCTTTTATAAACCGGAGGCCGTCGGCCGTCCAAGCGTCTCCCGCTGCTGTTGTTATTTTTTTTTATCCGCAACACTGTTTATCGGGAAGATTATCGGCTCAATACGCGCTCAATCGATCGACCGCTTTGAGAGTCACGTGAAGCGTCCGTCATTCAAAGTCCGGCGACGGCGACGATCCGACACGCGCCTCGTCCTTTTGAAACTTATTGTAGCGTGTGCTCATGACGAATACACTGCTTCGACACACACCGTTCGCCTCTCTCGTTTTTACCGTTTCGTGAATATCCGTGCGATTCGAACGCTCGGTCAAGCGAGGATCTAAAACGGGCCTGACGACATTTCACGGAGCATTTAACGCACCATTAGGACTTTGATATTTTAGGCGTGATATTTTGCGTGACTTTTTTTTATATTAATCCAACGAAAGAATGGCGAGCCATTAACCCATTTTATAAACTTCAATTTCACAAATTATTAAGTTCGCAAGATGATTTTTTATAATTTAATATAGTGTAGATCAAAAAAGCGAAGAGAATTAATTTAAAAGAAAAATTTGTCGAATGAAAAATGCCGCTCATCAGAATAAAGTGCAAGTAATCAAGTGTTGGTACTAGAAATGAAAAAATGTAATGTAATGTAATGTAATAGAAAGAATATATGCACTAGCAAAGTCTCAGTCAAAGCATTGGAGATAACAGTACTGTTGCAGAAAGAAAACGGCGAATGTCCTATCAAGAATTTGCGCGACGCACACAGCAACGTTGGCTGGGTTGATCGCAAAATAATCATTCAACGGCTTAAGGACGCTCTCACCGTCTACCTGTGGACCAGCAAACTTTGGATTCTCTCTCTCCGGTTATTGCCCTTCCTAGATCGCGTGTCTGCCGAGACACGATTCTTATTTACACTCCATTACCACGTTTCATTTTCGTCGTTCTACCTAACAAGCGCGCGAGCATCGCTGTGGACTCAGGTTGATCTTGCTAATTAACATTCAATAATGAGTACTTTGTTAGCATATTTCCCGGTATTTCTCTTTATGCACGGATTCTGCGGAATCTATTTTTTTAATTATAAACAAAATTCGCTCGGACGTTGTTCCCTCCATAACTTCTTATTTTTTAATTAAGTGAAACACAATTTAGTGAGTAAATTTCAATTAAATATAGTGTCAAATGATCACCTGATAGAGTAGAAACAACCTTTCACGAAATTTATACTCTATGCATTATAAATATGTATTGCAATATATGTACATTTCTATAGTTAACGATTAATCTTACACGATAGTAAGAAATAAAGAGCGAGAATAAAATCGTGAGAGGAATATTTCTTTTTTAACGTTTACGGTAGCGACGCAGATATGTAAGTCTCCTAACTAGTATTGTGTATTAGAACGCAACATCGCACTGGAGGCTGCGAGGATCGGCAGCGCGCGTTATTACGGTCGATATGCAGAGTTAACTGTTCATCGGGAACCTCGCGTTTCCGTTGAAAGGCGATTTAATATATCACGCCCGTTGATCGTTACGCGATAGGCGAGCTATCGGACGCACGTCGACCGTGACGGATTTGCCGACCGTTCGTTTTTGCGTGGAAGCAAGATTGCTTCGCAAACGACGAGATCGCGGCGCGGCGCGCCGTCAGGAAAATAGGCAACAATCGACCGCGAACGTAACAGCAGCAGCAACAGCAGCAGCAGCAGCAGCAGCGGTTGCACGTGCTCGAAGGCGCGAGGCGCCGCGTCATGCAGAATTTCCGATCGTTGTCGTCGCCGTATAACTCGCCGTGATCATCGTCGTCGTCGCCGTCGTTGCCATGGTTTCCATGAGATTGAGATGAGAATTCGATCCACCACAAGAATGTCCCGTTTATTCACGCGCGTCTCTCTCCGTCATCATCGGAAAGAACTGCCGTGGCAGTCTATTCCGACGAATACAAAGAGGGGAGCGAGACGGGAGTTCCCGTAGATTCCTCTAGTTTGCATTTTTCGTCTCTGTTACCGTGTCGTTCTCTCGCACGGGACTATTATTCCGATCCCCAATACATATTTCTGTGACTCATTATGTAGGACCGCGCGGCCTGTTTTAAATTCTCCCGGACTAGTTGTCGTTTAGAAAAATCGATATGTACTGTCGGCTATCGATCCTCGGTACAGACACACACTGTAAAGAATTCAATAACGTTTCGAAAAAAAATTTTTTTGGAATCTTTACATCATTACGCGGTTTCTTAAGTACTACCCAAATAATTGCAATTATTCTCGCGCAAATAAATTTTGTACAAAATATAATTTATTTTAATTACATCGTGTGTGTAATATATTGATATCCGAGATTGTAATTTCGTTACTCTCGTACTGTTTCGCGATTATCTCATAATCTTCCGGCTATCGCGGATACCCAAGATTCTGCGTGTCTACCGAAATGGAACGGAGACCTCCTTGGTATTCACGCATTGGCAGTGTTTGGCTCGGTATTCAAACATTGTCTTTTAATTGTACGAAGTGTTCGCGCACGTCTGACTATCCTTCACTGGCTGCAAAGTTGACACGCATACCTATTGTACGCCGCTTTGAATTATTTAGGCAGTACGGACCGGCTCTTTTTGGTTTGATTTTCGGTCCATTTTCATGCAATTTGTGAGGAACAATTATTGCGATTATCGCCATTCTTAATTTTTTCTAATCATCATCTACGAATTAATACACGACAATCAATTGTAATTGATAAATTAATACTAATGGTCGATTGTTGTTTCCTTGCTGATTACATATTAACGAAACAATCGTACTTGTGTAAATAAAATATTCAACAGAAAATTGATTGCTATTTTACAATTCCACGTTTATAGCAAAAGCAATAAATATTATTTAAAAGGAAAACGTACATTCTGTAAATTTCTAAAAATTCTCTATCAAAAAGTAAGATTCGCTCTCAAAAATATTAATAGAAAAATAATATAATTAGGAAAAATATATAATTTTTCCTAATTATCGTAAAAAAATTTCTATATTTTCTAAATCAATCACGCATGATAAACGAATTTTTATCACCGGCAACACAAAGTGCAGAAAGAGTCTCCGTGCAGAGTTACTTCACTATTATCCCTCTCGAAACATCCGAATTTTCAGATTTTCTAAATTTGTCCTTTTATATGTCAGAATCACTTGGGGATCGAGACATTCTCTTGGTGGTGCACATCATCACAGTTTATAAAATCCATGGCAATGGCAACGTCAACGAGGATCACGGCGATCATGTCGTTATCGCGGTCCGTCACAGCCGCGCGCAACCGAATCACTGATCTTGATCACTTGGTGTCAACGAAGGAGGCGCGACCAACCCGCTTCATCACTTCATCCACCCTCAGCGACCGGCCGAGGAGAAGACCGGCACTAAGTACTCTTCACGATCACTTACCTATCCAGCACGGTCGTCGACGGCGGACGACCCTGACGGCTCGACGATGCGGCGACGTGATCCCCTCTCGATGCACGGTCGATTTAGTTAGTTATTTTGCACCGTGTCGGACGCGCGTATCTACCGGAGATTTACGGCAAGCACTACGTGCTTGTGCTCCGAAGCCGCGATGTGACGATCGTCTTTTAAAGAGAACCCGGGCTCTTTTTTCGCACCCTCGCGATGAGCGCGTGCGAGCGTAAGAGTTTACTCTCTCTTCTCTCTCTCACCCCCCTTTCTCTCTCGCTCTCTCTCTCGCTCGCTCTCTCGCTCTCTCTTTCTTTCTCTCTTTCGCTCTCTTTAGCTGGTCCCTCAAAATCACCGCAACACCACACCGAACAGAAGTGAACTACTCGTGCGCCGCCGGTTCACGGTACCTTAAATACCTTGGCAGCCGCGCCGCCGCCGCCGCCGCCGCCACCGCCACCGCCGCCGCCGCCGCCACCGCCGCCGCCGCCGCAGCATAGCGCAGCGCACCACCGCCACCACCGCCGTGCGCGTCGTGCGGCCCCCTACCTTAAACGCGCCCCACGCCGCGCGAGCGGATTGGCGGGGGAGCAACGCGAGGAGATGTGTACCCGCAGGCTACACACTCATACACGCATACACATACACCGGAGAGAGCATCCTCTCTTTTTCTTCCATTCTCGCTCCCTCTCGCGCACATTTCCTCTCCTACTCTATTTCGTTTCCTCTCTCTCTCTCTCTTCCTCTCTCACGTTACCTCTTGCTCGCGCCGGCCTCTCCCTCCCTTCTACCCGTACGCTTCTCTCATCTTTCTCTTTTTCATCCTCCCTCTTCCTCTTTTTCTCAGCGTTCGACCACCAACGGCATATCCGCAGGACTAACGCGTGTAATGTCCTGGGTATCGACGCGGAATGAAAGGATATCCCTTTTGTCCGGCATTTTCTCCTCACCGGCATCCTCGCCGTCCGACTCGCGAATGGATGCGCGCGAATTGTCCTGAACGTATTAGGTGTCATCGGCGAACAGATCGGTGGACCGGTGTGAGGAGCAGGACGACGGCGAGGAGCACCGGTCGGCCGGTCGGTCGCCGCGCCGCAGGAGCGGCGATGCGCAAGCGCGAATGCGCATAAACGGCGGATTGCGCCCATCGTCGCGGATACGCGCATTCGCGCTACGCGCGTCGACGTGAGTGTGTCTGCTGCGCGGCCTCTCGCTCATGACACTCGTCCTTCGAAGGTGAGACTAACGCGAGAGGGAAATGAGAAATCGAAAAAAAGAAAATAGAATGTAAAGTGTCGATTAATTTTTTGGAAAAAATTTATAAATTTCTTTTTTTTTTTTTTTTTTTTTTCAAATAAATCCATATAAATATTTTCTACATATTTGAATTGACTGCGGATTTAATTCCTAATATTTTTATGCCAATGTGACTCAACTCAATATGTTACCGAAAAGCATGATAAAATTACGTCAAAGTTTACCTGGGATTTCGACATGAACGTTTAGTCAATGCCACCAGAAATTCAATCCGCTGACTCACTATCAGTCCTTTACATCGATGAAACATACGCGACGGTGAACTCGCAGCTGGACCAAAAATCGTTCTGAGAAAAAAATCTTGCGGTGAAATCTTCACTGAATCTCTACCGTCATTCATTCCCGTCGTAAGACAAGATGCGCTTCTTTTTATCGATTTTTACATGGGATACCTCGTGTGTGCGTTACGGCGAAGTAACGTTATTTCCCGCGAATTGGTCCCCCGACTCTCCTTCCCGTGCGGTCATTAATCGACCGCATAAAGGTTGATAAAATCCACAGAATCACAGCCACGTTCTACGAAAGGATGATTTTAACGATGATCTCATTCGAGAATATAATTAGAAAGACGTGTATGTAAAGCAATTTGCTACACGCGTTTATCTAATTGCAAATCAATGGTCCATTTATCAGATTTATAGATTTATAAGACTGATACGCGCGTGCACATAATTATACTATGCAAAGTTATCCTAACGGTACGAGATACCATCGGGTTTTATTTCTCTCTCATCAAAGAACCTCGAAAAATTATTCCCTGATTTGAGACAACGGCCTTCGGTATATTTTGTACATAACTCATCCGATTATATCTTCCGTCCTTGCAAGATATTTGCGTCATACTCTCCCTCAAAAACAAAAATTCAGACCGGAAGGGCATTAATTATTTACGTTCGCCGATAAACCTTGACGGTGTCCAGGAAGTTAAGCGACACTGCCCCTCCTCTCAACCGCTATTCGTACGTACGTTTGTACGGTGCATCGTCCATATTTACGACGGGAGAAGAGGGTTCATCGGGTAGACGAGAGCAGCCGTAAAGCACCGACGAGCCAGCGGAGGGCCCTGCGCGCGATGTACCTCGCGAGAGATATCCGAGACGATGTACCACCTCGGCTCACCTTGGTTCACCTTGGCTCATCGAACGCCAAGGGGAGGGGAATTCGGTTCAGCGAACCGTGCGCACGACGAAACTGGTACTCGCTAACCACCTCGGGATCTTTCTCTCACAGGATCGGTGCCATTGACACTGACATAATAACTCACCGCGACCGCGTTTGTCGGAGTCACGACGTACGAATGAAATTGCCGTCGATGGTGTAATGCCTCTTGCATAAGCGCCGGTGAGAGCGGAGATCAAGCAGTGTGTACCACGGAAGAGAGAAAGTGATAGGGAAAGAGAAAGAGAGAGAGAGAGAGAGAGAGAAAGAGAGCGAAGTGCGGACGCGGGCACAGAGCAGGGTGACGAGAGGGGAGAAAGTGAAATGAGAAAGAGAGAAAGACACTGTCGAGCACAGACAGTGAACTTGACCTGGATCTCGGTCAGGGAGAAAGAATGATCGTGGGCTTCTGTAGAAAGGAGAAAGGAGGCGGTGAAAGAGCGAGACCGAGGAAATTACTTTCGATTTCGGGCTCTCGGAGATCGGTTACACTTTCTCCCTCGTCCACCGCCGCGCGGTGAGATAATTTCTCCTCTCCTCCCCCGCCCCTCCGACACGCTCGCGACATGTCAGACAATCGTTACGTCTCACCTTCATGTCATGATATAGATCGTAACGGTTAATTGAAAAAGATTCGCGATTGACGGAAATACACAAAACTTTTCATTGGTTTCCCAACCAGACATCCTGGTTTTCCATTTTCCTCTAATAATATGTACCAATTGTCGCGATAATTTAAAAAATTTCAGTGACATAACGTTGACTCGTTTGCGGAAAGCCGTCTGTCGACGATTCAAAACCATTCGGATGCAGGTATTCGCGGTTGTTGTGCGCTTGACACGAAAGTACCATGGAACGAGAATCGTAAAATTCGAGTTCGATCGAGGTCGTCTATACGTAAATGGTGAAACGAACTTGTGGTGGGCCGTCACGTTGATGACAGCCATCGACCATACTGCCATCAAAAAAATTACGACAAGACGCACCACTAACACGCGCGTAGGACTTATCTAATTAGACCGAAAAGAACCACCGCTCTTGTCGTCGCGCCGCTAATACATCACATTTTGACGCAACGCGTAGGCTGCACTTAGCATGAGGTTGAAAATTCAAGCTGATGCAACGTAGTGCTATACAACGGTACATGGTGACCAAACATGTATTCGACATTGAAATAAATGTACCTGCATGAAACCCAATAATTTTACACATTTGTATGTATGTATAAATACCTTTATTTACATTAAGTTCTAAATTTAATTTTAAAGTAAGAATCATAATTAAAAAAAGGTATTTGTTTACATCTTAATGCGATATAATAAACTTTCAATATTAAACTGATCTTCTTCCCAAATATTTAATTCTATGTATTTAAAAAATATATTTTAAAGCAAAAATATTTCTATATATAAAGTATATTAAAGATAGAAATTTTGAATATTAAAAATTTGACAGAAATAAGTAACTTTTCTTTTCGATTGTGTTATATACACGCCTTATTTCAGTCGCTCCGTATTCCGAGGAGAATCCAGCCGCTCGCCGAGACGCATCTCTCGATATTACTCGGAGCGGGCAACAAGTCGACGAACGGCCTTGCGACATTTGCCGTGCGGCGAACTTGGCGACTCCGCTCGCCGGAGGACGCGTTACGTATCGACACCGCGATTCACCGGCGAGATGTCGGCGCGATCCCGTTCCCGAGATGGGATTACAGAGCGACTCTCACGGACGGATAGGTCAGATATTACAACCGCGTGGTCAGCGCAGCGCGTGTAGTCCTCGACTCGCGCCGACCGCGCGCGCAACTCTCTTTCTTCTCCTTGTCCTGACCAAGGAGGTTCCAAAGGAGGTTTCTTCCTGGCGCGGCGAGAAAGAGGCACCGTTGTTGTCGGCGCGGCAAATCTGCGTTGCGCTATCTGCGATTTAACTGCGACGCCCCGTCCCGTAAATAAACGCGCGGCCAGTACCGCACATCGTCGCTCCAGCAAATGGAGATATTATGCGGACCTCCCGGCCGGCTGGATACTGGAGTGAGAAAAAGGGGACCAGTGGTGAACCGGCAGGGCGAGAGGGGGGAAAAACGGAACGGATCGGGCGCGGTTTTCCGGTAAAGTCGCCGCCGTCGCGCGTGTAAACCCGGCGAAATATTTACCGGACTCTCTTCAGCGGGAGCGTACGTGAGCAGGCGGAAGCGCGAAGATCGGCGCGCACACGTGCGACGGTGGAGTCCCCGGCTGGCTTCGCGAGCAGTATCCTCCGATAGATCGTAAACATCAGTATTTATGTATAAGCGCACTGTGAAATTTTTTCACGATCAGCTACAACGTATGCGCTCGAGCAAGATCCCGAGCTGGAAACAGTAACTCCGATATCGTTTTGCGATTCACCCCATTTGAAACATATAATAGGCGACCAGTGGAAATCAACCCGAGAACATCAATCACAAAATCATGCCAGCCGCTATTTCGGTAAATAAAGAATTCATGTGTTGAATAGTATTTCTTGCATCTTTTGTCATATTCAAAAATCTTTTTAAGTTAAAACTTTATGTAGAATTGTATATGTATTATGTCGATGGCTTAAAGAAAATGCTTAGATCACACAAGCATTATTTTATTCAATTATAACATTATTAAAAATTGTCAATTTAAAAAGAACAGATCTTAAACTCTTTCCAAATTGGACGACTTCTCCAAATCTTTGAGAAAAAGTTTATTGGCATTTACACAATTTAATATACCTATATGTACACGCACACATTAGAAAAATAGCGACATCCGTATTTTGCGATCGCGTCAGGTTTGCGAGGTGCACGTAGAATATGACGGAAGAGCTTTCTTCCTCTGGACCCGATTCGCCGTTGACATCGCGACGCAGAGCACGCTGCCGACGTTGAAATAACGCGAA